CATAGTGATGTACTGTATATTAAAATACATGTATATTGAGTCTGACTGTAAGTACTCATCATCCACAATCGGTTAACACAATTTCCATGAAACATAGTCAACATATTTTTGACATATGCACTCCTTCTTTCCAAAGGGAAAAGACAGAGAAGCAGAAACAAGAAGAAAGCTTTTGCTGAAGAGAACAGGGGCCTTGTAAATGAAGAACCCATCCTCTCAGCCAAAGAGCTGCATAGCCTTCAGCAGGCAGAGAGGCGTCTTAACAGAGATGAGATCTACTCCCTGAAGAAGGTAGAGGCTTTCAAAGTTTTAGCCCAAATATATAGCCTTATTTATACTTGCTGTAAGTCTCTCTCTAGTGATTCAACCAAATAAGTCACTTTTTCTTTAATTAGACTTGTGTCAGTAATAGAGATGTGGTATATCTATGAGCTATAACTGAATTAAGAGTATTTTTAATAGTATCATTGTTTGTGTCTGATGTCAGTACTTTGCCTTTCCTCCATTTACATTTGTTCAGAAGTCTCACAGCAACCCTGGCACACTTTACACCTGTGTTCTGTGTGATGTTCTCCTGGAATCTGTCATTGATGCTTACAGGCATATCAGAGACAGACGGCACAAGAAAAGGGCCAGGGTGAGAAATGGTCTCATTATTGAAATCACCATTTACATGATTACAGTAAACATTTATAGACAAATGATGATATGATACTGACATTGTGCAGCAGTATCCTTTATGCATTAAAATAAACCCCTGTTTGCCCCTGTGTGTTTGTGTTCATAGGAGAGGCAAGAGCAGGTGATGCTGACTGAGATTCTGCCTCCAGGTGCGGAGCAGATCAGTGTAGTGAGTGCTGCACTACAGGCTGTTGTACAGGAACATGGGATGAATGATGAGGATGTTGGGAGGAGACAGTCTGTAGTCTCCATCATGCAAGACCTTCTCCTATCCGTCCTGCCTAGTAAGTCACCAAATGATGAAAACATTTGTTTGGTGGCAGAGACATGACTTAAAATTGATGCTGATGGTAATGTGGCCTTGTAGCAGACAGACTGCTGGCTCTTATGCTTGTACTTTAATGTTAATAACATTGTTGTTCTGTCATCTGTAGAGATCAGGCTGAGGTTATATGGATCATCTTGCACTAAGTTTGGATTTAAGGATTCTGATGTCAACATTGACATTCAGTATCCACCTCACGTGAGTAGCCCAGTGTGAGTTTGATAGTGTGAATAGTTTTCTTAGTGTTTTTAATAATTATATGAATTAATTACCTGTGATTAAATTTAAGAAAACCTCCATATCTCCCTGGAAAATAGATGTAACAATCATAGTCTCATCAAGTTAGAGGGGTTAGGTTGATAAGACATTTGTGTAAAAATAACAGAATGACTATGAAACACCAGTATCAAACATCAGTATGAGCAAGTATGTGGCAGAAACTGTAAGAACAGTGTGGATGTCAAAATATTATGCAAATCCTTTTTATTCTTTACATTTTGGAATTCAAAAGTGATTGATTTGTGGCTGTTATTTCTTAAGACATTTCACATTCATTTATCCTTTTTATACTGTATTTATGTTGTAATGGCTTTGAAATGGATTGTATTCACAGATGCATCAGCCAGACGTCTTGCTGTTGGTCAAGGAGACCCTCCTTGTGAGCCGTGAGTCACCTCTTATTCATTTAAATGCGAGGGTTTTTCCTAATAAAGATATTCCATTGTAGTAAAATCAGCCATGTGCCAGACCATCATGGATGTCTTAAATTTAACATGTATTCTTCTGTCCTTAGCTCTTTTCATTGATCTGGAAGCTGATTTTCATGCCAGGGTGCCAGTGGTCATCTGCAAAGAGAAAAAGAGGTGGGTTGTTCACTGTTATTGGATTACACAAATGTAAAATTTAAGACTCATATTCTGTGATTTAGAACAACCCAATATTTGAGGTAGTCAGATTGATCATTAAGTACCAGAATGGATGTATTTACATGTCTACAAAGAAAAAGGGCACATGCTCATGTCAGGGTTATATTAATCAGATGCACAATAGCAGTAACTCCCAAATGAAAGCTGAAAGTGAAAGAATACTGAAACATTTGTTTTTACAGTGGCCTGATCTGCAAAGTGAGTGCAGGCAATGAAAACGCATTCCAAACCACCACCTATCTTTCTGCTCTCGCCAGTCGGGAGCATCTCCTCCTCCCACTGGTTTTGGGCCTCAGACGCTGGGCCCAGGTATGTTTGTAGCTGACACCATGACCTATCAGGGTAACTAATTAAAGGGGCTCAGCAGGCCTACATTTTAACATAACGTAGTAACATCATTTTGTTTTAAACATCTCGTTTTTGCTTCCGACTTAGATCTGTGAGATCGACCGTGCAGAGGAAGGTGGGCTGCCACCGTATGTCTTCGCCCTCATGGTTATTTACTTCTTACAGCAGCGCAAAGAGCCCATCTTGCCTGCATACCTGAACTCAGAGGTGTGCACTTGTTTTCATCTTGAACCTGAAATAAAATATTTACAGTATTAAGTTCTGTTTTTGTCATTAGTCTTTCAATTGAAATTAATCAAAGTATCTGATTGTCTTTAGATTAAGGTGTTTTCACTCAGCAGGTTGTCAGACTTCAATTTCACACATATAGATGATGGATATATACACTGGACGTACACCCCTTCATCCAAAGAATCATCACAGCCAGCAGAGGGCTCCTTTATAAAGGGAAAGGTAATCATGACAACACAAATGTGTTTTTTGTTTGAGAGGAGCATGTTGATTTCTTTTTTTGGGCATCTTGTTATATTAATGTTATAGTTTTATGACGAATGTGCCTTTTCTATGTCAGATGTTTTTTTTCTTTTTGTTTGCAACACAGTAAGAAAAACATTAACTTGGACCTTTTTGATGATGCCATCCTACACATGCGTATTTAGTTTTGTCAGAGTTAATAGAATCCTCATATTTTCACCACTGGAATTTACCCAAAGCACAGAAGATAGTTGAACAAGAGACTGATTGTGCAGATATTAAATCAGGGGAAAGGGAAAGGAAAATGTGTTGGATAAGACAAATGAATATCTCCGAAAATCTTGTGAACAACCTGGTGTGCTCTTCAAAAGTGATAGTAATGTACATGTGTATGTGGTGTAGTAGACAAGCTAAGGCAAGTATAATAGATTATTTTACGTTAACCCTTCTAACTAGTACCCACTGTAATGCATGTTGTTCTTGCAGGTTCCACTGGTGTTTCAAAGCCCGAACCCACCTGTGGAAATTGGGCTTCTCTGGGTTGAAATGCTTCGTTTCTACTCATTGGAGATTAACATGGCTGACAATGTAATCAGCGTGCGGACCAGTGCTGTCCTCTCCCGGGAGATGAAAGACTGGCCAAAAAAGCGCATTGCTATAGAGGGTCAGAACCTCTTCATTAATCATATTAATTTGAAAGTTTTTCTTTTTGGGTACTGTAAAAAAAAAAAAATCACATTTACTTGCATGCATTAATGCTGTTGTGCATGAAAAGAATCACAGGGATGATCCATTCTGTTGTCACTTTTTCTTGTTTATAGTGTTTTTACAGTTCCCAGGGTTAATGCCCAAGATGAAGCAAATGAGCTGCATCAAAAAGAAAAAGCACTTCTTCAGTTTTATATTCAGAGTTTAATTCTGTCTTGGTCATTATAGTCATTAATGGACATGGGATTTTGTTGATCCCAGCCCTAGACTTGTCAGTATAAGTTTATTAGCTTTTTAAATGATGAACATATTGTATATACATAAATAAACATACATTTCTTTAGAGTACATAGAGACTGATTACTCCAACATGGTGTAACCCTAGCCTGTATTTCTATTTGTGTTTTCAGACCCATTTGCTGCGAAGAGAAATGTGGCTCGGACTGTGAACAGCCAACAAATGTATGAATACATCCTCCACTGCCTCAAAACCACGTTCAAGTACTTTGCACTGCCACTCAACATGCCAGCTGCTAATCGCAAAACAAAGGCACAGAAAGGACCTGTTCGAGGGGCAAACGCTGAGGCTTTGAATAAAGAGATTGGATGTCTATCAGATTTCAGTCAGCTCAGCATTCAGTCACAACATGCAAGTCAACCTAAATCTGTAGAATATGGTCCTGAAGACTCTGATTGCATTATTGAGGAAGAGGAGGAAGTTGAAGAATACAGTGACTCAGATGAAGGGAGAGAGAAGGAAAAAGTGGACCTGGGCAAAAGCAGTCTGTCAGAGGATGAGGAAGAGCAGGATGAGCATGTTGATGATGCAGATACACTTAACAGACACCATTTGGACAGCTTCACCACAGAGGATGAGGAGATTTTCCCAGTGGATGAGATCTCAGGAGAGGACCTTTTGTCTGATGAGGAGGGTCCAGATTTGGACACACCTGGTTCAGTGGATGAGGAAGAGGAGGAAGAGGTGGAGTTGGCACCTGTAAGTCTATCATCTTCGCTTTTAGAGGACACAACTAAAGATGAGAGCTCAGAAAGTAAAATCCAGAAACGGAGCAGACTGTGTTATGAGTTCACAAGGCAAGCTTTCACCAGAGGAAAGGTAAGTTTACCCTCATTCTGGTTATTATATTACATACAGTATTTCTGAATACCTATGTGAGACTTAAGTGAACATTTTAAAGTTAGGTGATGAGCATTTTTCTTGAATGTGACTGGAAGCTAAACTAGACAAGAAACTGTGTTAAATAATCTTGTGTGCACCATCTAATTTAAACTCTTTTCAATCCCTCTTAGGCACACATGGTCGTGTGCAGCTTGTGCAAGCGTGATGGACATCTGAAAAAAGACTGCCCAGAAGATTTTAAGAAGGTGCAGCTGGATCCTTTGCCTCCAATAACACCAGAGTTTCTCACTATTCTTAACAAAGTCTGTGAGCAGTGCTACAGTGAGTATTATATGATTGCACAAGAATTTGGGGTCAGAGTTAATTACATGAACAGCAGTGAAGTATTCCACCTAATTGTAACTTACTAACATCACATTTCTAAAATTTTGCTTTAAGTCAGTGTTGGACACTTAGGAGATATTACAAGTAGCATGACATTATGCAGTTAAAATATTTTTTTCCCTATACAAAGATTGTTGAAACTATAAAAAGATTTCAAGGCATTTAATTATCTTTTATAGGCATTTTAAATATCTAATGAGCAAGGGGGTTAATGGAATAATATTTACATATTCTTGTCCTAAAAGGTATGTGAGGTTTGAGTTATCCAATTCTTATTCAGCAAACTCGTAAATTATTCGTTTCAGCTTGATGATTGTCACCTGTTCTCACACATGTGAGAGGTAATGGTACCTTCAGAATAGTCTTAAAAAGCACTGATTTCAGTTCCCTCAAAACAGCCTTTAAAGGTATAAAAAAACCCCCTCAAATTTCACTTTAATATCTAAAATATTGTTTCTACCTTTCTGTTGGTCATAACATTGTTTTTATATGTGATTTCTAACAAAAAACTAAGTGGAATATATGTACTGTTTATGAAACTTTGTTATTCATCCATCCATCCATCCATCCATCCATCCATTTTCCTCCGCTTATCTGGAACCGGGTCGCGGGGGCAGCAGGCT